GAGCTGCTAATGCTCCCTGTGCTACCTTGATTCGACCAACGTGCGCAGTGTTCATTCACGCGTTTGAACAAATGCCCTGCCGTTATACCGTTAACCGTAGCGCCCCGGACGCGCCCGAACTGATGAACCAACATTGAGCACGTATGCATAGGCAACCTATTCACGTTTCGTAAATGGATAAGTGGTTCCATTAAAAGCACACGCTTTAGCGCATCTGCTGCAAAGGTCGCATTAAGTGCACCCGAAGAACTTCGAGTTACACGCTCAGTAACTGCGACCCTTTTGAAAGATAGTCCTATGAATAGCTCTTTCTTTGCAGCTGTTAACATTGGCAGCTGTTTAGGCTTTTCTCCAAGGTTGCATTAAATAAATATCGGGTATCCATTTGCGCGCAACGTATTCGGTATGAACGTCAGTATCGCGTCTAGGATGCTTCCCAAAATATTCGACGTGCTCTCGAGGTAAGACAGTGAATCAATTTGCGCTTATACCTTAGAGAAACGAAATTGTGCAAATTCGTATACTGGCCAATCCATGTTTTATGCCTCTGATTGGAGATGTCTAGTATCTTTGGTACCAGCACATCAAGATACGGCAGCTACTTATCGTTTTCTTTTCAGAAATGAAATGCAGTGTTGCAAGGGCTCGGTGAAAACGATTACGTATTACGCCTAGGTTAATGTGCTCAAACATCACAAAGAATATGTCGTCCATTTAGCGACGCTTACGGTTAAAACTGATTATCGCCGGCTTCATTGCGGTTCTCTCCAACTTTGCCATGAAGATATCCCCCAGTGATGGATCCAGGAGAGAGGGAATGTCATCGTCGTTCTTCTGCTGGTGGTATTTGCCGTTAAAAGGGAACTTTATATTCTATGTGAAGTGCAAAATTAGGCTTTTAGCTCACAAGTGGATATTTTCAATATATATTTTGATCGAAGCTGGAAGCTGTCACCTTGGCTGTAAGTTGCAATCTGCTGCCTCACTGGTTTTAGAATTTCTAAAAGCCACTTAGGGACATCATGATGGGTCGAATGGACCACTGACAACATGGGACGGAGTGGAATGTTGGCTTTGTGAAATTTCGGTAACCGGAAAGTCCCAGAAACCTGTGCCTCTAGTTTTGAGGCTGTTATACACAGCATCTGAAATGTACCCTTAGTCTGCAGTTCTTGCTGACTCTTAGCGATTTGCCTTTCGAAATTCTACAGCGTTTTGAGGGCTCAACGTCTAGCCGAATACGTGCCGCTAGGATCCTTCCTCACGCTCGCTCAATTTCCGTCTCACCAGCGCGTACACCCGGGCTAAGCTAACGCCGTCAGTTCAGCGTAAGTCCTTTCGATTCGCCAGCGCTCCAAGCGCATACCGTATGCATCCTCCAACCGTGCCAGTGACAAGCTTATCTTGCGTTCCTTCACATTCACAGCTGCTAAAATTGATGTGGTTGGCAGGTCCCAGTTTAGTTCTCTTTTGTGACATGTTTAGAAATAAGAATCAACCAGATGGCTATTAGCCAATTTGCCTTCAATCAATTCACCTGAGAGATTATCCATAGCAATTGCTTTTGAATGTGGTACAATTTGCTCATATGTCTTAGGTCAAGTTTGCATTGTGCGCTCAGAATATATTTATGCAATACAAGGAAAGCCTGCTTTGAAAATAGAGACAGTTGAGTTCTGCACCTCCTTCCAGGTAGAAGTTATGTAGAACATGACGTTTACTAAAGGTACTCGTTTCATGAAATCAGTTCCGGACATATCTGTGGGATTCGATGATGGATATAATTTGGAGTAGCAGTTTTTTTTCTAAAATCCGATTTAAACTCCTGAATGACACCCTGGTCGTAGGGTTGAAGTAACCCAGTAGTGTTGGGTAACAGGAAGTGCAATTCGCTATTAAGTAGGTGGAATTAGCGATGGCAACTGCTTTGTCGAGAGAAGGTATGGTGTTGCGTTTTGCTGTATTTTGCTGTTAAATCTTTGCAAATAGTTGCAGTCATCCATGCTTTTTTATTTCCAGGTAAACTGCCGGTAGTTTTCCATGATATTTCTAAATTTGGAGTGCTGGCTGATTTCCAAATCACTGCAGCCGTTTGTCGCTCCCCCAATTTGGTAGTCCACAGCGTATCTGTGATACGCGCCTTGATTTTTTCCTATCTGTGCATTTCTATCCTTTCACACAAAGACTTTATCCGACTTCATTTCGAATAGCAAAGCAGTTTCATATAAACCAAAAATGTCTTGTGCTGTGTAGGCGGAATATATTTCGGGCAATTATTCTGCCTAGTCGGATTCAGCATACATATCTGAGTCACCACTTTCGCCCGATTGCTTAGTAAACACAAGATTGTCTACTGATGAAAGCCTGTAGCCAACTGTTTGACGATGTAATGTCCGTGTTTTACAATTCTTTTGCAAAATGTAATGATCGTTCTTGAATCACCTGTCCAGATAATGGGATTTTCCCGACAGTGCTGACTGGCAATATATCCAGCAAGGTGCCTTCATGTCTTCGTTACCCATTTTTCTATCATTTTTTCTGATCAGTCTTGGCGTGTGGTTCACCAAGTCATTCAAAAACGGCTCCCCGTTTTATGTTACATGAATTTGTGTTCTTCCTACCCTGAAACATTTTCCACAATGTTAGCGAACTGTTCTTCTTAACATCGTCGAATCACTGATAACGTTTCATTAATTGTGAATGCCTTTGGCATTGCTGAAATGGAATTTGCTATTTTGTACTTCATAAGAAAGCTCAAAAACAACGATAAAACGAAATTGAATATTCAGTAAGGACGTATGTCAGCAGTACCCGCACAGTTCTGACAATGGACTGGTTACACAGGAAACAAATACACACACAATAATAGTCACAGTACTTGCGGCTGTAGAAATGTATGGCAAATTCCAGAGTGTGCGAGGGGAGTACCACCGCTCGTTTATTGAATAACAGGGCCCTAGCAGATTTTACATTGCACAGCCCATAGCAGCATACATGCATTAGTTATATTGGGTGGAAACCCCTTGTGGGGGGGGGGGAAGTGAAGCATCACTCGACAATTCCGGTGTGGCTTCTCCATGTCGTAGGTTGTCCACCGCGCGTGTCCAGCAAACGTGCAGAATGCGCGACGTGGAAGACGATGACCGGGCATACGCAGTACGTGTCCAAGACACCGCAGCTGACGCAGTGGGACGAACTCCTCCAGCGAATTGCTGACTCCACACAAGCCACGCTGTCTAACTTCCGCATTGTTTATGTGGTGCAGCGACCACACACGGGCAATCGACCGCAAGCAACGGTGCTCAAAGACAGAGAGACGGGCGCAGATCAACGATAGGTACGGGCAAAGTCTCCCAAACGTACAACAGTAAAACGCGGACAGTCACACAATAAACCCGTCCTTTGATGGATATACCGATGAAGTGCATTATTTAAGACTTCCTCAACGACAAAGTTAGTAAGATATTTGCACCTACATTGTCCCGGAATATCCCGGAGGAAAGCTTCAGCCAGAACTTACGTATATCGGCCTTTTATTAATAACGCTATCCAGGATTGTGTCGTCACATGTAGCAAAGGTGCATGGCATCGAAACTTCCATGCAAATTCCTCCCAACCTGGATGCCAGCCTTTAAGCCATGGGAGAAAATTCACCTTGATTTCCCTGGTCCCGTTCAAGACCACCTTTTCGAATTGTGATTGATGTGTATACGAGGTGGCCGGACGTATACCTGATGATCACAACTACGACAGCAGCCGCGGTAGGAAAATTACAACAGTTATTTGCACAGTCCGGTTCTCCAAACACGTTGGTTTCCGACAACAGTTCGTAATTTATCTCCGATTATGTTGATGTTTTTGCCAGTGTTATTGTATCAAACACTGCCGGTGTCCTCTGGGCATCCCCAGTCCAACGGGTAAGCAGAAAGATTCGTGGATACCATCAAACGTTTACTTCTAAAACTGCGGGGGAAAGGAGCCAGAGTAGATATCATACAGCTGTTAACTTTTAACTATGCTCCGTAGCAAATGTTTCTGCAAACTAATACCTATCTACTTATCTACATGACAAATGTCCCAGGCTGGTGCCGCATCACACTTGAGGTCCGAAGCCAAGTCTAGTACGCAATTATTTGTTTGTTATACTTTAGTCTGTGACACATATACTGCATCTGCGTTTATAGTCAAGGATGCATGTATTGAGAATACGCATCCTACTCCAACAAGTTTCGTAATATGGGCTATATCGTCGCAGCATCAGAGTTCATGAGTTTTGCTTTTATAGGTTGCAACAAGTTGCTTACTCAGAGTTTTTCCACTGATATGAGCACATTACGTTAGTTGCTATCCATAAGGGAGATTTGCTTGTATACAGTTGTATGATTCGGATTTTTACACAGGTAATGCTGTTTCTTCTTCCTAATTAAAGTACGCAAAGCGATCAGTAAGTGACGTTAGTGAGCCCAGATGCTCTAAGGTTACCTGCCAATACGTTTGCTTTATCTTGACAAATTTAGAAGAATCCAAATATTTGAACCCATCTAACTATGCACAGAGCAAATTATTCTGCAATTCTATACCGCCCCATGGTCACTTCAAATGTAATTGGCGACAACCTTTCACTGCAGACTGCTCCAGATTAAGATGACAATGATGTATGTGCAAAAGCGTTTTGGGAAAACATGTGATGCTGTTGAGTGAAGCTGTCAAATAGAAATAGCAAATAGAGGCTTGCGGAATCACACCATGATATTACAAGTCAATAGACAAGCTATGTGCCGCCGAACAATACCATAACCCAGAACCCGCTATCAACTCATAGGAATTCCGCATCTACTTTCGCAAGTTTCATGCGCAATGCAAGTTTCAAATTCAGTGAAAAGCAAACAATAAGCTGTTTATTGCATCCAACATATTTTCGACACACAGAGCCCCAGATTCTCTCGTGCCACGGTATGACATATGATGGTAAACTTGCGCTGCATAGCACAACGTTCAATTCAATGTTGACTTGCTTGTGTATAATGTCCGCACACTCTAGCACAACTCTTTCGTCGAAAATTGTAATCCTTGTATTCATTGAACCAAGCTGCAAATCCACTGGTAAAAATAGAGTGAATAATGCAACAACATTAGAAATATGACATTACTTTTCATATGCTGGGTTTCCTGCAATGTTTTGCCCAACCCAATTCCTCCATTTCGAGGTGATTCTTTCCTCGTTCGTGTTATGGCCGAATTGACATGTGTCACTCTGTCGCTGCGCTTTCTCTGCTAGTTCATCGTCCCAAGACTGTCAATGGAAAAGGTAATGCAATCAACGGACCGCTAAGTGCTTGCTAGTTGAATTGTTCGGTTTCAAAGTACAAATGGAAATCGCCTCTACACATAAATTATTTTCGACTGTTATCTGCAATATTCTGATACATTGTAACCAAAGAACAGCAATACAGGATCCAACCTTCATCCGATAAACCTTGGTCACGATTTGCATTCATGTACCAACACGCATTAAGTGGAACTTCTCTAAAAATGTGGTAACACTGTGAGACATTTAACTACCAAAATGCTTGATAATCGCATCAGGTAGATGCGGGTGGAAACGTAATCTGTGCATTCATATTTTCAAAGTACGCTCACCAGGTTGAGTAGTTGTTTGGCAGATGGTTGCCCTGGAAGTTGGCACTTCAACACCTTGAGGCGACAGTTTGCCATAAACCTTGACTGTGCTCAAACTCTGTGCGTACAGTGCTTTGATAATGTTTACCTATATATCGGGCCCACCTTCTCTCAGTAGACAGTTCCAAACTGGCCATTCATCCACCGAATCGAAGGCGCCTTTGACGTCGAGAAACACGACGACGATGGGTCCCCAATGAACATGGCGGTGTTCCAACAATTGACGCCAATGGAAGATGTCGTCTATGCAGCCTCTATTTCATTGAAACCCGGCTTGCTCTTCACGGATCTGGCTTTCAAGAGCGCCAGTCAGCCTGTAGAGAAAGACAAAGGCAAACAATTTAGAAGTAATTGGGATCAGATTGATCCCTCTATGTTTGTTACATTCCGAATGGGAACCACCCTAGAAAATTGGGTCTATGACGGAGCGGCACCAATCTGTCGGGATAGTTTCCTGCTCCCAAGTTCAATTAGCAACTCTTGTAAATCGTCCACAAGAGCAGCATCCCGAATTTGTAGCGAGCTGGGGGAATTGTATCTGGGCTAACGGCCTCATGCAATTTCATCAGGCTGAACTTACGTTCGAGTTCTGCGCTTGAGGGCGGATCTAAGGCGATATCGCATGGACAAGGGCACTCAATGCCCGAAAACGAAAGCGATAATTCAGATTGGTTAGACTAAGTTACAATGTGTTCGACCCAAATCTCCAGGTGTTTTGACAAGCTGTGGATCTGCAGTCCAATCTCGTTGTGTACTCTCTCACTAACAATAGGTCTCCTGCTGCCTATTTACCCTTATTTGACGGAAAACCATACGATGGCTACCAACTGCAGCGGCTGTTTAAATGTACGACGCACCATGAGACCACCATGCTAGCACGTAGTTTTGCCCTGAGAATTTTACGAGTCTCATTGTATTCACTTCCAGCCGGAATAAATCGGCGAGCACCAATGAGTTCCAGAGAGTTTCTAGAGACCCAATGTCTTGGTTAGCAATTTGATTTGCCACCTGAAGACATACCTGCTTGTAGTAACGTTTGACAAATATGCGACCAGTGATCTTCGTCCTTGTTTAGTGGATGGTTACCCTGCCCAGATGACAGCGCAGTTGGTACGCATTCAGAACACCTTTACGCAGCTGCAGCAACATTCATCTTTATCATTACGGGAGCCTACACCATGTTGGCCACCAAAATTAGGCTCGTACGAGGAGACTTTTCCGACTTGGGCTTTTAGACTGCCAACGTACACCATAGTATCTGTGGTTTTTCTGTAACGAAGAAGATCGTTGAGTTGCTGATAGAAATCAACCTTCACCGAACCAGTACTACAGTTTGTATGGGGTGTAGGCCGCAATGACAAACAGGCACCATTTGTTCTCGCGCGACTTCGTAGCATGGCACGAACCAGCTACTCTAAATGCGAATAACCGACTTTCGACTGGGATCCAATCGATCAGGGCAGCTTCAGCCTGGGGACTCAAAGCAATGTCGAGGCCAGCTTGACCGGCATTTGAAGCTGCATTATCGGCAGGAAGGCGTATTGAGAATGTGCCGCCAGTGTCGCATGTGGGGATCGCAGGGTAAGCACGGAGCTCGAATCATAGAGGCGGGTTGGTGATAAAATGCAGATATCTTTCGATATGGTGTCGAGTGTTGGAACAAGTGCTGCCTTTTAGCAAATCTGCAGCAAAGTTCACACTTTGATGCATGCAAGTCTTAGCGAGGTTCGAAGACAATAAATGGAAACGAGAGAACTGACGTTATCCGCTTGGTTAAACATGGAATTGTCGACCGGATTGGAGCGACGCCTGCCGTTGTTTGTGAGTTGAAACTAGCACACAAGCGACTATACAAATCAAATCTAGGAGCTCCATTCTGAAAAGCTTATGCTACCCGTTTGCGTCAAATTTTGTCGGTTTACTAAATAGCCAAAACAATTAACTTGTGGTTTCTTTTGCAAACTCTTGTACATTGAGTGCATAAGCTCTCAGGCCAGTCATTCTCATCATCAGAATAAGCACTCTGGCCTATGAAGCTAATGCTGTCTCGGCAACCTGGGAGGTAACAGAGGGAACGTCCTCTTGGATATTGATTTTCTGCTTCAACAAGTGCCTCAGTGCTAACCATTAAAAGTAACTAATTGTTCTTCGCGTTGGGCTGAACACTATCACGGAAGAAGGATCAGTTCTGCTCTCTACACGCTACCTAGGACACAAACAATGCTCCATCTGTGACTTCCTGGACATCCGGTGACACCAGCGTTACCAAAGTTCCATCAGCTTAGAAACCACTGAAAGGAAACTTTAGCCGGAACGCTTTTTGTCCACTGTGTTCATACAACTTATGCTCGTGGCTGGCATGACATAACAAACCAAGGTACAGAACAGTAGTGTAACATTCGGCATCAACATCCTCGAGTGAGTTGTTTAAGAAATTGGTGCCACGGCTAGGCACATCAGCGAACTACAAAGGATGTGGCCAAAGCGTGTTGAACGTAGTCATGCAGCAAAACCAATATGGGCGCTGCCATTAAAAAGTAGCGCATATTCGGTTGCATAAATCGGTGTGCAGCATGTGATATGATCCTAAAAACCATTAGCCGTCCGTCATTCACTAGTCGAAACAAGGTATTATTTGTAGTGCACAATCTCCAACAAATTGCTGACATCTTAGAAGCTTTCATTTATGTTCACCAACGAAAAATACATCCTAGCAAATCTGCCGAACTTGGATGGTGCCATGTCGCAAATTATTGTTACTTGATTTTCACGACGGAATCATATTTTCATAAAGAATTTGTTGCTACTGTGGTAGAGACACATCCGAAACGACCGTTCCAATAATGGATGTGTTGTTTTTCTGTATACCACATTTACCTGCAATGTGCGATATTTGCTGATCCCGGAAACTTATATCACCGGTTATCTCTTCTGCCATTTACGTCCAGAAATAAAGACAATCCTCGTAACTGAAGTTTAGCGCCTAGCAGCACGCACTGGGTCAAATTTCCCGTTTAATGCTCATCATGTGCATAGTAACACGCCTTACGTGCTTCCATATCTTAAACTTAGGTTACATCAATGTACACGGTCTGGGAATATCGGTATCTCGTATTGAAATCCTTTAAGCTGGCTTGCAAGAATATATCACCTACATTACAATAAAACCCATATCATTTGCCCGCAATGTTCAGGGTAGCATCCGAACCGTCCCCATTGGATTTCTCAGCTCGCAAGTAAAAAGCATGTGGTCGACAACTGATTGCCCGAGAGTCACTTCGTTCTCAGTAACGATGGTCATAAAAGTTAACGGTGAATGCTACACAGTGTCCAATCTGACATACAGCACTAAATCATACCATCTAACGGTATCACGCCCTGACAGAACTCGTTGAGAAATCCAACTGGGTAATCTCAAACAACAGTCTCCAGACATCGTTCGAACAGAGATCGATGAAAGACTCAGCGAAACTTCAATAGATTACATCACTCACCAGGCTTAATATTTTAGCCTTAACATCAGTATTTCTACCAAACCTCCATCACGCTAGCATTCCAGATAATTGAGCCGCGTGTGATGTGGGTTTATTGGTAATTTCAGTGAAACATTTAAGACCAATTTGAAGGAGTGCGGAACGTATTCTACAGTGAAATCATCCACAGTGCATTCAACCACCGGGGTCAGAGCAGACAGCGTGCCATATGTTTGAGAACGCACACAAAAAATTAAGAAAATATGCTAAGCAAACTAATTGATAAAGCAAAGCTAGCAATAAGGGATTATTTGTGTTTATTTTATTACAGATCCGGATGCGATAACTAATTTTTACAACATTAGCATCAATAACCCACAATGGAACCAAAGCTGACCCTGCTCAAACACATCCATCCAAGCGTTCATAATGCTCACCCACGCGCAGTGAACGCATTAGCATCGAAGCTGACCAATCCCCTAGCCGCAATTCATCCATCTTCGTTAAGCTAAACTTAGTGGGCCAGCTATGAATAAATATGAATTAACCAAAACAAAGTTAATAGTGGCAATCGTTCATTACCTTAAAAATATTGAGCAAATATACTCCCTCACTTGTTTAATAATGTGATGTATGCAAACTGAATAATGAATATTGTATTTTGGAGCAAGTAGAAAATAATTCTGTACAACTCCATCGGGTGATAATCAAAGCAATAAAAAAATAAATAAATGCCTCTGATGGTTATCCTGAGATGGTTCAGCAACTCCTTCTGTAGCACACAAAATACATTTTCACACAGTGAGTCACAGGTGGGTGATATCGTTGTCAAGTGGCAACAGTTCTCTGATACGTATGTTAGCAAAGTGTAAATCCAACAAATATTTGAATTTCTGCACAGATTCTGCCTCGACGACGTGTTCTGGCAGACTGTTCCAGGCGTGCACAACCCTCCGCTCGAAACACAGGGGGTATGGGATTTTCTTCAGATCAGGTAGCACGAGTTTGTACCTGTGCCCACGTGTGGTGCATGGTTCTCGCAAGTGGAGTAACGACCTCAGCATGGGGAAATGACCGAGATGTAAAATACGGTAGGTCATGATAAGATCCACTCGAACACGGCGATACGACAAGGTGTAGAGCCCAAGTTTCATGCACTGGTTTTCATACGATAAGTCTCTCAAGCTGGGGATCAACTTGGTGGCGACGTGTTGTACTCGTTCGATCTTTTGCGATTCGCCGCGAGTGATCGGACAGTATGCAGGCGAGCCGTACTCTAACATTTGTCTAACGATGGAAGAGAAGAGGCGAGTGGCGACGTCCTCAGACCAAGTGCAGAAGCTGCGCTTCAGCGCCCAGAGCATGCGCAGTGCGCTTCGATACAGTTTGTTGGTGTTGTCGACGAACTTCAAGTCGCAGCGTGAGAGTACACCCAGGTCTTTCACGGAAGGTGTGGGATGCAGTGGATGGCCGTCTAAGGTGTACGTTCGGCCTTGAACCGCCTTCCCGAGTTTCATGAATAGGGACTTTGCCGTGTTGACCGGTAGGTGGACTTCAGCAGAC